GTAAAAAATTATAGACTATATATAAGGCAGCTTATAAGTAATAACGTAGTCTAGTATATTATAAAGTTAACTAATAAGTAAAGATTACTAGCTTTAGCTAAAGTATACCTAAGGCTACTTAATTAACTATATAATACCTAATAAGTATAATAATTATAAAAATATTACTAGTAAATTACTAGTATATAATAAAGAAGATACTAGACTTTATAGGCTAATAGGTATATATTAGAAGTTACTACACCCTCTACTAATCTATAAATAGTTAAACAGCTACTTATATAAAAAGTAATTTAAAGACACTAAAATAGTATATCTATATAGGCATAAAACCTTAAAATCTTAGGTAATAGTGCTATAAGTAGTAGCTAAAGGGTATTAAATCCTTAGCTACTATTAGGTATATACCTATAAGCTTAATAAATATAGTTAATTAACTAAATTTAAAGTAAGACTTATAGTTTATAGTAACTAATAAGTAAAAGATTTATAAGATACCTATATAGCTATATTAGTAAGTACGTTATTTAAAATACTTATAGTAATAACTACTTACTTTAATCTAGAACTACTTTAATATAATATAGTAAATATATTTATTTATACTACTATTAATAAGGTAGTATTTATAGAGATACCTCTAGGCTACTAAATCTCTAGCTAGATCCTCTAGCTACTAAAAGCGCTATATAGGCTTTAGTAATTACTACTACTATAGCAAAAGCACCTTAAAGAAGGACTTACTATATAGGGCTTTTACTAAGTGCCTAGTAAGAATTACTATTAGAAGAAGGATTATATTATATTCTTTTTCTATATTAATAACTATATATTAGCCTATTACTATATAAATAAAGCGTAAGTAAGTAATAAGGTAGTAGCTTTTTAGTAATAATACTACCTTAAAGGCAGAGGCCTATTATAATATTTACTTAGCCTTAAGGTAATTTATAACTAAAGTAACTATTATCTCTAGCTCTTATAAGTAGTATACTATAATAAAATAATAAAACTACTACTAATAAATAATAAGTATAAATATAATAAATTATTACTTATAGTAAAAGCTAAGCTACTACCTAGTAAATATATAGCCTTATTATAAAAGGTTAACTAATATTAAAAGAAAGTAAGGATAATCCTATACGTAGTAGTAATAACTTAGCTAGACGTTACTTTTATAGCTAGCTAGCTTACCTACTTTAACTATAATCTAAATCTAGATTACTAAAAGGCAGTAAATTACATACTTAGATACCTCTACTATATATAGCACCTTTACCTTAAATATAAAGTAACGCTAGGTAGTAAAAATAATATATTAGAGGTTACTTTAGACACCTTATTTACTAATAACTTACTAAACTATTATAGCTTATAAGCGTATATACTAAAGCTATTTAGAGGGCTTATCTCCTAGTAAGTAAATAAACAAGATATAGTAATAACGTTAACTACTAAGGCTAAATTACTAGCCTTATTATCTGCTGTAAAGGAGGCGCTTTTTACTAGTAGATTAATTACTACGCTAGGTATTTAACTATTAATATAAATAAGAACTAAATTATTACTTAATAAGCAGGCAGCTACTAAATAGCTACTAACTATTTATATTAGCTATAATAATACCTAGACTATTAGGCTTATTACTAAGAAGCTTATCTAACTATAAATAAGATTATAGTATATAGATATTTATAACTACTAGCTGTAACAAGAAGTAGTAGTAGATTAGATTACTATTAAATATAAGAAGTCTACTAAATTAATAGCTAATAGATTAATAAAAACACTTAGCGCGCTATAATTTACTATATTTATAGCTTAATTAAATATAAGTAACTAACGCGCACGCCTTAAAGTAAATTAATAGTAAGAATTAGCTAATAATAAAGTAAAGCTTTACTACTAGATAGAGGAGGAAAATATATAGGATATTAAAGGATAATTAATAAATAAATAAGCTATATATAGAGGATATTTAGTGTAGGCTCTACAGTAATTAACCGCGTTACTAGCGCTAAGGGGGTATATTAAATATAGCAGAATTATATGTAAATTAACTAGTAAATATACAGTTACCCTACGGCAAATTGTTAGGGAATAGGTAGTAAAAGGGCCCTACTTTTAGGGTAAATCTACTAATTATATAGCTAGGATTTCTCTAGGATTTCCTAACTAAGAAATAGGGGGATTTCCCTACTTCTATAGGATCTTAACTAGATACATATAATATATTATATAATTAATTAAGTAACTATTATAATCCTTACTATTTAACATAAATATAGCTTAAATAGGTTATAAAAGGTTTTTAAATAGTTATTATTTTATATAACCTAGTATATAATAGAAGTAACTAGTATAAATAAAAAGAAGAGATTAATTAAAGAATATAATAGTACTAAGATTATTAAGGCCTAGCTAGTACTTTAAGTAGTATAAAGTAGCCTAGAGGCCTAGTATCTAGAGCCTTACCTAGCTAGACAGTACTATTATTATAGCGCTTAGTTACGTAACTTTAGGTATAAGTAACAGTAAGGTTAGCTAGGTAGACCTCTATATAGTCCTATATAGATCTAATAGAAATAAAGATATTAGAATTAGAAGACAATATAGAATATTTAATAGTATTAATTTAAGTAGTAATACTATATAAGATATTATTAATATAATTTGTGTTATGTTATATATTTCTATTATATAAGTTTATTATAGAGAAATAAGTAGAGATAGGGCCTTATTACCCCTAATAGAATAGAGTTTAGTAGTATAATTAATAGTATAGTACTGTATCTACTTAATAAACTAACATTCCTCTTTTTCTTTAGGCTAACGGGATGGGTATCGCGACCGCTGTGATAGGTATAGTGCGCTAGCAGAAACAGGGATCTGAATGTGGCAAAAGCAGGGGTTAGTCATGCCGGCGATCGGGCATTGTGAATAACGTGGTGGACTAGATGGGTTTGACAGGTTAGATGGGCAGGGCTAGATAGGCTAGATAGGCTGGATAGGTGGGCTGACCGCCTTCTATTACGGGCCTAGATTAGGCGGTCACGCGATACCTTATTCCGTTAGCCCGAAAAAATGAGGAATGTCGCTTTATTAAGTGGATACGGTAGCAGTAGGCTTCTGAAATAAGCTTAACTCACTAGCCGCATACTGTATTACACTAGCAATTTACCTACTACCGTTACATACATACGACACAATTAATCAACTATTACTCCGTACAATCCTTACGATTTAACAGCTGGCTCTTGCGATTTAACTTGCCGCTGACGTAAATGACTAATCCCTGCTTTTGCCACCTCGAGATCCCTGCTTTCTGCTACCACACTATGCCTATCACAGCGGCCGTGATACCTGTTTTCTGCTTCATCCCAATCTGTCAAGAGGATACCCTACACTAGAATCATTTTTTTCCTTGCAAAAGAATCGCCGGATAGAGTTCTAATCTTAATTTGACTCAGTCTTAGATAACAATGCTCGTTTATTTAGGTTTATCTCTAAAGCCAAAGTCATTTATCTTGCCAGAGCAACGTTGATAACAGAGTCACGTTTAGGCCCTGATCTTCTCGTCGCCAGTCGCCAATCGCCAGTCGCCAGAGGTACTTCGCCACTGACTCTGCCACCTGCCCAGCCGTTGATGTACTGCCGCAATAGGCCGTAGCGTACCCGTCGTGAATATATAGCATTTACTTCCCTGGCATTGGATCCTGGCGATTGGCAGCGGTTTCTGGGATGCTAGGATGTATGGCAAAAAGCTGGCAATAAGCAAAGGTTATACCTGATCCGGTCTGTCTCAGCCACTGATTCAGAAAGGAACATTGCACAATTCTAACTCTGAGAAGCGACCGGATTCAGCAGCAAGATTACAGTCAAAAGAGGTTTGGCGGCCCGGAAAAGACTTCGGATGGGTTTCCGGGCACTTTTATACACAGATTACATCAGCCTGGCGACTGGCGATTAGCGACTGGCGACGAGAAGATCAGGGCCTTAGGCCCTGCTTTTCTTGAAGCCAAGGTTAGCGATTAGTGGCCAGGGGGGACTTTTTGTGACTTGTGCCACGCCAACTTTATGCTCAAAGTACCGCCAAAGTGGGTTAGACCGTGGGCAGCTCACCGCTTGCTGCAATAGTCGGATAGTCTGGTGGTGGTACTCCATCTGTTGTTAGTGATGGTATTGGTGATGTGAGTATTGCCCTCCTTTGAGCATGTCGGCTGGCCACTAATTACGTTGGCCACCGTTCTGGCAATGCCAAGATTAACGGCAGAAAAGGCTATTATGAATAACGCTTTCCCTCTTTTGGTAGTAGGATGCGATAGATTCAGGAAGATACATTGCATAAATCTGACTTTCTAGTTGCAGCAGCCATCCGGGCCCGGATACCCCTCGGAAGCAGTTATGCACGCCGGAAATCCATCCCGGCCACTAATCACTAATCTTGGCTACGAGAAAAGCAGGGCCTAATTACAGCAGTCTACTTACACTAGACAAATATGGCTTTGGCTCATGCAGAAGCTAACTTAAAGATATCTAGCGGTCCGCAGGGAGCTAAGCCTGCTGTAGAAGGCGGTCAATCATTCCAGGTACCCCACCTACCGCCACAATTAACCTTAATAACCTATTAACCAACCAACACTATACTTGCTTCTGTCAGGACCCTAGCGCTCTCTCATTAGCTTGTGCATGAGTCAAAGCTGTATTTGCCTAGTATCTACGGAAGCATGTAATGTATCGTTGATTATTCCTGCCGACGAAACTTGATTACCTATAGTGACCCAGAAAATTGGCATTCAACCATCAATTTTTACCTTACCTACATGACTTCAGACTTTCTGCATGTCACTGTAACGCAGACAAACCTTGCCCTAAAGTAACAATCTTTTGGCATCGTAGCCGACAATAAAGTAAGCCTTCGGAATAGGCGGCAATATTTAACGTTCTATCTTTCCCACTATGTTCAGTAGGTTCGATAACTCTCCAACCTCATTTTTAAGATGAACTCGATCAAAACCCAAAAGCGGAGGTCAAGCTGTGATGCATGCGGCGCCTCAAAGCTTCGATGCGACCGCAGCCAGCCTGCCTGCGGTCGCTGCGTCGCTCTAAAGCAAAACTGTGTCTACGGCATCTCTCGTTATAAAGGCAGGCCAAAGAAGAACCTTTGGGATATTTCCCAAGGTAGTCCCCTCAAGACATCAACATCACCGTCGTCAGAAGAGAATGTCAACACAAGCTACAGAATCGACGCCACTTCAAGGTCGGACTCCGAAGGGTCGAATTCCTCAACAGACGACGGAAACACCATTGCTTCATTCTCCGTCAGCCAGTACAATGGCGACGACTGCGCCCGAATCATCTTGGATACCTCCGAATTCACTACTATGGCCAACGATCTATTATTTCAGAATATGCCTGATTACAGTCTTGGGTATTCTCCTGAATGGAGTAACCCCACTGAAAACATTCCTGGAGGCACTCTATCTGACCTCAGCATTGGCGGTGACTTGAGTGGGAGTGTTGGCAACAGCATACTCAGCGGCGAGGAACCCTTCTTGCCTGTGTTCAATACTCTCGCAGGTTATACCACTGCTGGAGACAGCTGTGAAGGTCACGATCATTACCTGCTTGCTCAAGAAGCCCTTGTATGTTTGAGCCCTATCAACACGTCTTTGCAAAGTGACTAACCATGGCGGCTGCTCAGAGAGACACAATTGTGACATTAAAGCAAGCCAAACGTTTGCAAATAGATCAGATCCTCCAAATCAACCGCCAGGCCCGCATTCGGCTTAAGGCTCTTTTATCTTGTCACTGCAGCACCCCCATGTCGCCAACATTAGCGCTACTCTATGCATCTAACATATCATATATTTTGACGCAGTATCAGAAGGCGGCCTGCGAGTGGAGTAGTCAGGAAGTGACGGTATCGTCGAACGAGCCATTGCAATTTCGCTTAGGTTCCTTCAGCGTGGATAACGAGGAAACAAAGACAGCTTTAGGGTTACAGTTGATTATAGACGAAGTAATGGCAGCAAGTAGTCTGATTGATCAGTATGCGTCAGAATTAAAAGGAGCTGGATTGAAATGGGCTAGGGCTGACTCCGAGGATTCTGCTTGCGATGCGGGATTGACTGAAGAAGGTTGCCCTCAACAAGATTCTAGCTTGTTTGAAATACTGGAGGCATGGACTAGAAGGCAATATTCACAGGTCTACTGTTATAGCAGAATAAGCCTACAGAACGCAGTTAGGAGTCTTGTGTAATAAATTAAGCTTAAGACAAGAGGAAAAGAACAGAGATAACATATGTAAATTAAGTAACATACTATAGTAAATAGTATATATTTATATAGATTATATAGTTTTTAAGTCTACAGACAAGCTAATAATACCCCCCCCTAATAACCTAAGAGTACTATATATAATAACTAATAAGGGCCTATATATAGTTAAGCTAATAATAGATATAGATAATAAGGCTTTATCTAATTAATAAGTAAATATATATAAAACAAGAATTAAGGAATAATATATATAATAAGTAAGCGCGCTAGATAAGTAAGCGCACTACCTAATTATAGCTACCTTATAAGTATAACTAAGAAGTCACTATAAAATAATAGAATTAATTTAAACTACTTAGAATCCTATTCTTTAAATATTTGTTTATTAAACTAGTATATTTATATATTATATCTAGTGTTCCTATAGACACTATACTACTATTTACTTATTTTTATTTTTAATTTATAACTACTACTTTAATAGATTTCCTTCTTAATCTAGGTTACTACATCTCTTTATAACTAAATATCCTATATATTAGCTATAGTAAGACTTCTTTTTTACTTTAAATAAGTTTTTTTTACCTTTTTATATTAGTTAAGTAGGTTATTCTCCTTATAAAGGGTTTTAACTTTAGCCTTTAATAAAGTATTTTTATATATAATTCCTAACGCTCCTTTAAGAATATACTTAGTAGTTATTAATTTATATATTAAGAAGCTATCTAGATAATTAATAAAGTAATTCTTAATAAAAGTTCTTTAAGAAAATATCTTTATTATATTATATATAATTTAAAAAGTCTAAGCTAGTAGTGTTATTAAAAGGGATCCTTAAGATATAAAAGTATATAACTTAATATTTAGCTTTAATAGTACACTTTTTAGACTTAGAGGGATAAGCTTTACCTCTCTAAAGCCTCTTTAAATATTTATTTTATAAGAGCTTACTTAAAAGTATTATAAAATACTAAAAAAAAGTTATCCTTAATAATATAAGTATTACTTTATTATATCTTATCCTTAATTTCTTAACTATACACTAGCTTTAAAGGCCTAAAACACCTAATATCTAAAGGCTAAAGTAAATAAGATAAATAAGTTAGTATATAAAAAGTAATAATATTATTATCCTTAGAATATAGCTTAAAGTCTATAAAATAGTAGCTTTTATACTTATTAATAATAAGAAAGTAATATTTCTTTTTTATATATAACTTTAAATATTAATTAAAGTACTAAAGCTAATTTAGGCCTTTTTTATTTATTATTTATTTATTTTTAAACGTTATAATAACCTAGTTAAATAAAAAACTAAATTCTATATACTAAGTAAAAAGAAGATTTTTACCTTTAATAATAATATATAGTAAGATATTATAACTAAATAAACTAATAGCCTAAATAACTATAACTTATTCTTAATTTCTAGGCTGTACTATTTTTATATTTAAATGTCTTTTAAAGCTTATAATAACTATTCTAAATATAATCTAGCTTATTATAAAGCTAGTCTTATTAAAGTTATAAATATTAAACTTTATAATAGTATATTTTATAATTATATTTACTATAAAGTAAAACTATATATTTATTATATCTAGATCTTTATATTAAGCCTTCTTATAGTTATACTTATAAAGAAAATATATTTAAAGCTTTAGTGTTTATTTAATAAAGTTTAAGGCCTAGCGCTTACTAACTAGAGGCGCGTTATAGTTAGTAAGTAGTTAATAAGCTATTTTTTTAACACTACTAAGGTAAGAAGAAAATAATTAGGAATTTAGGTTAAGAATAAACTTAACTAGCTTTCTCTCTTTAAGTTTTATTAAATTCTATAAGTTAGGTATAATATTACGTTATAATAATATACCCTTTAATTAATATATGACTAAATTATAACTAATATTATGTATCTTTACTATAGCTTAAATGCTAAGTTTTAGATCTTTTTTATACGCTTAGACAGCTAGCTATACCTAGGCTTTATTATAAGTTAATTTTATTATTATTAGTAGAGGAATTAAAGGGAAAGGTTAGATAGTTAGATAGTTATAGTTTAGTAGCGCGCTTACTTGTCTAGCGCGCTTACTTATTATATATGTTACTATAAAATAATATAGATTAGTAAGGTAATATAAGAAAAAGTAATTTCTATTATTAATTATCTATAGAGGACTAAAGTAGGCTTTTATTAAGAAATCCCCTTATAAATACCCTTATAATAAAGCTATACTATACGCTCCCCTAAGTTAACTACTAAGATAATAATATCTAACCTCCTGTAGTTAGTAAAGGCCTAGTAATTTACGTTTATATATATAAGCTTTATTACTTTATAAGAGGTAATTATTAACTAAAAAAAACACCTTACTTTACGTACTAATTTATTATTAACTAGTAACTATTTACTATTTATATTCTTTATTTATAAGCCTAGAAGCTTACTAACTCTTTTTTTTATATTCCTTTTATTAAGTTACTTTATATTAATAATCTAATAGCCTTTATTACCTATAAGCTTACTATAAGTCTTTTTTTTTAAGGCTTTACCTAGTTATAAGTCTTTATAGTTACTTATACTACTAGTAGTAAATTCCCTAATAGATATATATACCTTTTAGTAGTAGCTAGGGGAAACGCTTATAACTAAGGGGTAGTTAGGCTAATAAAAGCTAATTATAAGTAAGTAATTAAGATAAGTAACTATAATAATTTAGTAAGTAGTGCCTATAGTGTAGCTGAAGCCTAAAAAGTAAGGGGAAATTACCTAAAATATATACTACTACCTAGTATTACTAAGTAAGTAGGGGTAATCTAAAGCGCCTATAAGGTGCCTAAAGGGCTTAAGGATTATATCCTTACTACCTAATAGTAAAAAGACTATATTATAAAGTAACTATAAGACCTTATAATAACTAAGTAAAGAAATATACTTACTACTATTATTATAGCTAATATTACTAAATATAAGCACTATAATAATATATATAGAATTCTTTATAAAAAGGCATAAGATAACTTTAAAGATTAGTTAATTAATAACTTTAAGCTACTACCTTATAAAGTTACTAAAAGATTATATAACTACCTTACTAACTATAAAGTATAACTTAATTAGTTAAAGAATCTTATAGTTATATTATATATTTATAAAGCTATAAAAGATAAAGTACTAGCTATATAAGATAAAGAGATAATTATAACTACTATATAAAGAGTTAAAGAATTAAAGGAGTAAGTAATAGACTATAATTTCTATAAGACTAATACTAGTATAGCAGTATTACTTATTATAGCTATTACTATAGTATAAGAGGCTAAATAAGTAATTACTTATAAATTACTAGTGATTTAACTATATAACCTTATTATTATAATATTAACTATTACCTAGATATTAGTAGTATAGATTAACGCTAAATAGCTAGAATAACTATAGCTAATTTACTATAGATCTACTAGATCTATAGGGATATTATGTAGTGGATTTACTACGTAATCCTATAATAGTTTTCTTTCCTTTATATATAATCTAGAACTAGTATTTACCCCTAT